TAGTTACGTTCCAAAGCCTTTGCTCTGCTGTTTGGGGTCTGTTTCTACTCTGCCCCTCGGGAATGTATCTGAGACTGGGGTGGTGATTTAAAGGACTCCACCTAATGACTGCAGGCACTCATGAACAGTCTTCAGGACACACCATACATTTGCCACAAAATAATTTTAAATACATTTTAAAAGGATTAAAAATCATACAAAATGTGTTCTTTAACCCCAATGATAATAAATAAATCTGGGAAAGCCCTACATATTTGGAAATTAAATAACATACTTATGAAATACTCATGGATCAAAGAAGATATTATAAGGAAAATTAGAAAATATTTTGAACTGAATTAAAATAATACAGCGTGGGGCAAAAGTAGGTTTACAGTTATGAACATGCAAAACAGAGTTTATTCTTGTATTTATTATTGAATTATTTTTCATACAAACAATTGTAAACCTACTTTTGACTGAGACTATATGGCATATCAAAATTCATGGAATGTAGCTAAAGCAGTACTTAGAGAAATATTCATAGCTTTAAACATCTATACCCAAAAAGAAAGTTCTCAAATCAGTAACCTAAACTTCATTTTAAGAAACCAGAAAAAAAAAAAGCAAGCTTCTGACCAATAAAGAAGAAGAAAGGAAATTATGTTAAGAAATAGAAAATAGAAAGTCACTGAAGCCAAGGTTGGTTTTCGAAAAGATACACATAATTGACTTTCTGTATCATTAGCTTGACTTACGGAAAAAAAAGTGACAAGAGACAAATTACCAACATTAGGAATGAAAGAGGAGAGGACATTATAAGCAGATAATTTTAAAACTTTATGCCAACAAATTATACAATTTAGATGAAATGGACAGATTTCTAGAAAGCTGCAAATTATTGCAACTGACTCAAGAAGAGATAGAAAATCTGAATTATCCTATAGTACCTAAAGATATTTAATTAGCAAAGAAAAGCCCAGGGCCAGATGGCTTCACTGGTTAAATTCTATCAAATATTAAGGAAAAAAATTTAGTTTTATTAAAACTCTTTCAGAAAATTGGGGAAAGCACACTTCCCAATTCAGTCTTTAAGGCAGCGGTTCTCAACCTGTGGGTCGCGACCCCTTTGGCGGTCGAACGACCCTTTCACAGGGGTCGCCTAAGACCATCCTGCATATCAGATATTTACATTATGATTCATAACAGTAGCAACATTACACTTATGAAGTAGCAACGAAAATAATTTTATGGTTGGGTCACAACATGAGGAACTGTATTTAAAGGGCCAGAAGGTTGAGAACCACTGCTTTAAGGCACCTATTACTCTAATATCAGCCAAAGAT